CTGGGAGAGCTCCTGGGCATCACTCTTCTCCCAGAAAATTATTGCAAAGGTATTAGGGGGAAGATCAGACACAGAGGGAAATGGCTGGATGATTGAGAAATAATGAGAATGGGGATAGAAAAGAAGATTGATCTCACGGACATTACCAGTTGCCTAGTTTACAGATTTAACTCGTTCTGAACCTGATAGTTTCTGTGTGTGTGTGTGTGTGTGTGTGTGTGTGTGTGTGTGTGTGTGTGTGTGCGCAACTTATAGAGTACATATAACTTTCCAGGAAGGGATTATAGGAACTGGCAAAGAGTCACTCTCAGGAGAGGCAACGTGGTGCTTGGGGACAGGGTTATGAGGGACACACTTTGCATTATTTGAGTACTTTTACATTTTGAATCATATTACTGATTCAAGTAATTAACTATAAACAAACATTTGTTTAAATATGAAAGTCTATTCTATAAAGGACCAATGTCACAGAAAATAATGCAAAACAAGTTTGTATATACTTACTACTATGTTTAATTAAATATTCCTAATGCTGATAGAGTCATCCTACCATTACTATTCATCACATTTTTAAAAACTCCCTATAGGTAACCTCTTCAGGTCCCCTCCCGCCATGGGAGCTTTTCTGTCCTCTCAGTAAATCCTGCTTTCTCACTTGGAAAACAAAAAAACTCCCTATGTTCATACATATATATATATACACACACACACATATATATACACACACACACACACACACACACACATATATATATGTATATAAAACTCTATGGTAGATTTATTACATACCATGATCAAATATAACTAAGTAATTTAAACCAAGGGTCAGCAATCTATAGTCTGTGGGTCACATCCAGCCCACCACTGGTTTTTGTAAATAAAAGTCTTACTGGAACACTGCCACATCCATCCATTCGTTTTCGTATCACATGTGGCTGATTTCATGCCCTGATGCCTGATGCCCTGAAGTGTCTAACTTATTTACTGTCTGGCCCTTTATAGGAAAAGTTTACCGACTCCTGTTTTAGTGCAGGGGCACCAGCTCCTGTCCAGAAGTACATCTGACATCTATACTTTTAAGTGGTCTTAAATCACTTATGATAAAATATTTTCATTGTAGCGCATATAAAATTGTTTTGTCATGGGAGTATGTCAATATTAGTGACTCATTTTTAATCTCCCAAAGCCACATGCTGGCATAAAATTTCCTGCCATTTTTCTTCAGCTGGTTTTTCAGCAGTAGTAGGAGTATCCCTGTTAAATTCAGGAGTGCAAGCCCAGTAAGTGATGAGAGAAAAGATCAAGCATGTGTTGGCATGCGCCCACACATGTGGCATGAGGAAGTTGTACACACATCAGTGCTAACTGCCCTCCACATAAACACGTGAATAAAAACTGTATGTTTGAGAAATAATCCCAAGCCACATTTCCTAAACAGACCATGGAAACGATACCCTAACTCAGGTCAGTACGCCAGCTCCTTTGCCCTTACAGACCATGCTTCTAGAAGGGCCCATACCTCCTTGAACAGCTTTGCCGGCACTGCCACGGCTTTCTCCTCCTCCAGGTAGGATGCCCAGCACCAGGCTTTCTTTCCTTTAGGAGGCAAACCTGAAAGGCAAGGGAGACCAAAATGATAGAATCTAAGGAATCTGTGCTTTTTTGTGAACTCTCACTCCCCGACTCCTACTGTGCTGGTTCTTCTCATACTTCCATGGCTGGTATCTCCCAGTATCTTTTTCTGGCTCCTTTTCCTGAGAGCAAGAGCTAAAAAGCAAGCTGTGGCATACACCCACAGTTGAGAAGGTAGGAGAAGGAAGTGGAAGAACTGAGAAGAAATGAAGACGGGGCAGGAAGTCGAGATAGAACAGTACCATGAAAGCTACAGGAAGGGAGAGCTTCAAGGAGGATGCTCAAAAAATATCTCCTAAGAGATCAAAAAGTTGAGGACTGAGAAAAGGCCAGTGTACAGAGTGCATGGAGAATGACTGCTAATCTTTTTCTCTGTTTAGGGTCAGGGTGTCTTACTCTGCTGCCCAGGCTGGAGTGCGGTGGCTCAATCATGGCTCACCACAGCCTCGACCGCCTTGCTCAGGCAATCCTTGCACCTCAGGCTCCCAAGTAGCTGGGACTACAGGCAAGCAACACCACACCTGGCTAATTTAAAAAAAATTTTTTTTAGAGACGGTCTTGCTATGTTGCCCAGGCTGGTCTTGAACTCCTGGGCTCAAGCAATCCAACTGCCTTGGTCCAAAGGGCAGTACAAAGTGATTACAGGCATGAGCCACTGTACCCGGCCGATGGCCACTAATTTTAAAAAGAGAAGAAAAAGAAAAGAAAAATCAATGTAGTGAGAGTCATATTTTTAGGTGCAGAAGAATATGGCAGTGATAAAAACACGGAGGCAGTTCATCTGCATTTTGTTTTGGATTAATCTGACAAGTATTGGAAGCAAAGGAAAGAGTATAATAGCCTGATGGGCAGCAAAGTTGAGAAAAAGGTATTCTGAGGAAGAGATTGGAGCAGGTGAAGGTACAGAGAGCCTAAAAAGAGGGAAAAAAAAATCTGACCATTTAAGGGGGAAAATAAAAAAAGACTGAAGGAACAAGGTCCCAGAAAAGCCAGGGGCCTGGAATTTATCCAGTCTGAAGGAAGAGGAAAGGGAAGAAAGGGGAAAGAAACAGACACAGAGGCAGAGTAACTGTGGGATTTGCTCTCTGTCTTCTCAGTGGCATTACATAGAAAGTCACCTTAGAAAAGACATGAAAGTTAGGTGGCACACATGAGGCAGGTGGGAATATTTCCAACTCTTTTTGAGGAATTAACAGAAAACAAGCAAGGAATGTGTCCAAGCACGGAGGAGGAGCACTGGCTTTGTGGCATTGATTTGGAGGGGCAATATGACCATGCAGGATAGAAGCTGGGCCATGAGAAGTGGCCTCAAACAGAAGGCTGGCCGGCAGCTGCGCCAGGCCAGGGAAACGAAGCCCAGTAGAGGATGCTGGAGCCTCTATGGAAATGACCCAAGGTCCTCGCTGATTAAGGGAACAAGGTCATCAAGACAAATACTACAGGGAAGAGCCTAAGAGTTGGATTCCTTATGAGAATAAAATGTTGCCTTCTGAACAATTAAAGAAAAAAAAAATCTACTCCACATCAGGAGCTCGTACTTTGGGAGGGAACATTGAAATCCCAAGACTGGAAAATGAACAGGAAAAGAGGTTTTAGTAAAGGCATTGATGCAGGAACAACCTCGCCCACAGGAAGAGAAGGATGTCCTCATGCTTGAAACCCCTTGAAAGTTCTGAAGTCCCTTTTCTTTTCTTTACCTACTTCCTCAAAACCTTCATTTTTAATGGCAAAGTTGAACTAAAGAAAACCCCAAAGCTATACTTGGACTGCCACAGCACGCATTACAATGAAGACTCAGATTTCCACCTGTGCGAAGAAACATTTTCAGTTTCATCAAGTTACAAGGACAATTCTCCTTTCATCTGCTCACCCTGTTTTAGTACAGCCGGATCGCCTCGTCTTTTCCTTCGGGCTCTCTGCGAACCCCTCAGGATTCTTCCATCTTGTTTGTTCTCCTGCAACAAGAAAGAGCAGTTATGACTTGAAAAGCTCATGAAACTGGCACCCGTGAAAAGTTATGGAGCTGGCAGAAAGCATTTTTCTTGGTGCTGTTCTTTTCTTCCACTCTACTTAATAACTTTTAAGGAAAGAAAGGACACAGTTCATTTGAGAACCGTGTTGCTTTTGGCCTGAGGACATTACAAAATAAGACTGTTTCCAAGAACCACCACCCTCTGAAAGGGCCAGAAAGCCCCCATCCTTCTCTGCTTTCCGTGCACCGAGCGCTCGGCTCCCTGACCACTGAGTTCAGGTTTTCCTTACACCTTAGGGCCCCTTTCTCAGTCTCCCCTGTTGTCTCCTCCTATCCAGTCCTGCTCCATTTCTACTCACTTCCCCTGAGCTTTAAAGGTCATCTTGTATGCCAGCTGTACCTCTAGCTCCCTCTCCCTGGTTTGAAGGGGCCTGCCTTCCTGGCACTGTCACTCGGAGGGCGAATAAGCACCTCAAACTCACAACGGCCAGGGGACTCGAGTCTCCATTCCAGCCTGCCTTTGCGTTCTCAGTAAGGGACATGATTGTTCAGTCAACTGTTGAACCAGAAATCTAAGCGTTATTCCCAATTCTTCTCTTTCTCTTACACTTGGACAACCCTCCTTCTGACATCAACCCCAAATCCACCAGCTTCTATCTTCCATAGCACTCTTACTTGGTCTACTGCAACACATCCTAACTGGTTTCCTCATCCCACTCTTGCTTTCATGTATCAAAGCTACAGCGGTTCTGTCTCTCTCTCTCTCTCTCTCTCCCTCCCTTCCTCTCTCTCTCTCCCCCTCCCTTCTTCTCTCTCTTTTGTTGTTGCTGAGTCAAGGTCTCACTCTGTTGCCCAGGCCAGAGTGCAGAGGCACAATCACAGTTCACCACAGCCTTGACCTTCTGGGCTCAGGCGATCCTTCTGCCTCAGCCTCCCAAGTAGCTGGACTATAGGTACACACCACCACTCCTGGCTAACTGTTATTATTATTATCATTATTATTGAGTTGGTGTCTCACTCCATCGCCCAGGCTAGAGTGTAACGGCATGCTCATGGCCACCCTAGTGTCGACCTGCTGGGCTCAGGCAATCCTTTTGCCTCAGCCTTCCAAGTAGCCAGAACTACAGGTGTACTCTACCACGCCTGGCTAATTTTTTTTAAATGTATCGTAGAGATGAGGTCTCGCCAAGTTGCATGGGCTGGTCTCAAGCCTGTGCGCTCAGGCAATCCACTTGCCTCGACCTCCCAAAATGCTAGGATGACAGGCTGAGACACTAAGCCCAGCCATGGCTAATTATTTTAATTTTTTGCAGAGATGAGGTCTCGCTATATTGCCTAGGCTGGTCTCGAACTCCTGGACTAAAGCAGCCCTCCTGCCTCAGCCTCCCAAAGTGCTGAGATTACAGGTGTGAGACACTGTACCAGGCCCACAGTGGTCATTTAAAAACACACACCAGATCCAAGCATTCTCCCGCCTTCAACTTTCCAATGGCTTCCCATGACACTTAGTATACAATGAATTCCCATGGCTGGTTTATCCTAAAGCCCTATAAGCCCTGGACCACGTACCCTTCTTCAGTTTCATCTTACTCCACTTTCCCCTAAACCATGCTGTTCAACCAGAGTGCCTTTTAAAAAATGTCCTCCATATAACATGAGTTCTCACCCGAGGGACTCGCCCTGAGGAGGTCTGCTATCTGGAGGATGCCTCACACGCCATCTCACCCAGTCAGCTCTTCCTCATTGTTTAGACCACACTGTTCATGCCACTTTCTTTGGGAGGCCTCCCTGACAAGCCTGCTTAAAGTAGTCAGCCAATCCTAGTTACCCTACTTTAATTCTCCACAGCACTTATCATCAGCTGCTATTTCTCCTGTTCATTTCATTTGTCTATTATATGACCCCTTAAGAAGAATGCAGTATTTCTGAGAGGAGAGACTCTGTCCCCTCTGTTTGTCTTATCCCTATAACCCCAGCTCCTAGAACAGCGATGGCAAATAACCGTTGCTCAGTATTGATCATAAGGGAAACACTTCCAGACCTCAAAGCTCTCTTTTCCTGTAGAACCATTAATCCGTGCTTTAGGGATAAGATATGTATGTTTTAATTAGCACATTTTGGATGACTTTTCCCCAAATATACCTGATATTTATATGCCATTTTCTACCCACTCACATAGTTTCATGAGATCTGCCTGTAATTTACCAAAATGGGGTTGGCATTTTGCTGTCAAGAGGAACTTAAGATTCATCTACAGAACTGAAGGTCTTATCGTTGTCTCTCATCCCAGCAACAGATTTCAGGACATCCTACTGTTTCACCCTGAGGGAAGGGTACGGCTGTGAGTTATTCACATTTTGCGATGGGAACAGTGAGGCACACAGAGGCTAGGCCACTTGCTGACAGTAACACAGACGGTCCCAGAACCAGCATCAGACCTCAACTGGCTCCAGAGCAGTGCATGTGACCAAGCTGAGACCCAATGAAGAAGCCTCCCTGTGCTCCTGATGGTCGGGCAGGAGATACTAACCATTTCATCATCTCTCTCTTCTCCATCCTCCTTGGCATCAGCTTTCAGAGATAATTTTGGTTTTTTCTTCCGACTGCATTTAGTATCTTCTTCCTCATTGTCTTCACCTATGTCTCTTTCTTCCTTCTGATCTCTGTTGTGTTTATAAACCCAAAAGAGTGACAGGAAACAATACCTATCAAACATCTACATGTTTAAAAATTATCTTTTAAAAACCACCCACCCAAGGAAAAAAGGTTTAACTAACTACCAGGAGAAATCCGTAGGCATTAGAACATCACATTTAAGAAACCCTTAAAACCACTATTATGTATGACATCTGTCAGGGTAGAAAATGAAAACTGCTTTACATAGTAATTTCAAAAGGGAACCAGTACTATATGTGAAATAGGTTCTAACAAGTTTATAGTTATTTGTCAGCAACATCTGCCATTCATACTAATAAAAGTATCAATTATTTAAAGACATTTGTTTTCAGGGCATGAGATTCTAAAGCAAGGGTATTCTGAAGCAAGGATCCAGCAACTACTAGCTGAAAAAGGCAAGCATAGCTTCATAAAACATCAGTTGGCCAACGAAAACAGATAATTCCCATGTGCTGATTGAAATATGTGGGACACGCCACTAAAATATAAATGTCCAGGCATTTATTTGTAGTATGCAATTATATGCACAAGAAATACCTTCTCGGTGATAAGCTGAACCTTGTCAGACAGTCCCCAAATGGGAAGGTCACATACCTGATCCCGGTCTCACAATTCTCAGTCTCTACCCTGAGACCATCAGTGACAACTCACTACAACTGACACTATCTCCGACAGCCACTCAGTGGGAGTTTTTTGGTTTTTTTTTTTGAGTTGGAGTCTCGCTCGGTCGCCCAGACTGGAGTGCAGTGGCCACTCCCGGCCACCGCAGCCTTGACCTGCTGGGCTCCGGCAATCCTTCCGTCTCAGCCTTCCGAGTAGCCAGAATTACAGGCATGCACTACCACACCTGGCTGATTTTTTGATTTATTGAAGAGATGAGGTCTCGCTGCCCAGGCGGGTCTCGAACCCGCGGGCTTAGGCAATCCACTCACCTCAGCCTCCCAAAGGCGCGGGATGACAGGCTGAGCCACCAAGCCCGGCTCAGTGGGAGTTTTATTCCATACACCGATCTTAGGTGAGCTACCTAAGGAGTCCCAAAACACAAACGAAACTGTGCGCCCATAAATATCGGTATTATCAAGATATGTACATAGCCCAGAAAAATCTAAATACACTGCGATTTTTGGAGATTTGGAAAGCAATCAAATTAATGTAAACATAAGGCCGAAGCCAGAGGCAGAGGTCGCACTGCAGGTAGCACACAGGCAGTACAACTCAGACCACGCATGACAGAAGTCACCAGGCCTCATAAAGGCGTCAGGCTCCAGGTGTCTCTAGAGGAAATATCTCTGGGAAAAAGGCATAAACAGGTGACAGGTGTCAGAGTGCACAAAACCTCTGTATTCTCAGGCACCATGACCTCAGACTCTAAGACCCATTTTACAGATGGAACGGGGCCAAAACCTACTTGTCTTTGATATGCCGAGCACAGTTCTGGCTGCAATAGTTCCCTCCAGAAAGACACTCATCTACGTTGCCATACTGACAACAGTTCTCACAGAACTGAAGCCCCTCCACTTTTACTGGATCCTTCAACCTGAAAGGCATCCCCGTCTTCTCCGAAAAGACTAGAAGATGAAAAGAGAAAAATTAAAACCATGACAGAAGATATCCCAAAATACCATTACACTAATTAATAATGAATAATTTTGTTAGCAACGCAATAAAAGAATAGTGTTTGTTGAATGAATGAACGATCAAATTATATTGTTTAGGAGGCAGGGGGGTTGACTTTGCAGAAAATCACCCAAAACATTCTTATAATGAAAAAATATTCTGCAGAAGGGTTAAACAAAAGCTTGTCCAGAGCTTTTTCTAGAGTTCGAAGTAAAATGAAGAAAATTTCCTTCAACTCTGGATTCAGAAGATGCGATGATCGACCTACAGAATCCTATTCTATATCTGTATCTTGGAGAAGATTTCAAAAGGGCATCTACGTCACTTCACATTTATGACCTTCTGATGAGTGATTTTGTTTTTCCTTAATATGCTAACTCAGCAGCTATTTTACTTTTAATGTATCAGATCTCCTGAATCATAATTACCCAGATCGCGTAGGGTCTCACATCTCCTCTTGCCTGAATCATTAGGCGAATCATTCATTCAGCAAACATTTATTAGGCACCAATTTACGCTAGACATTGATAATGACAGTACAGACCTTGCCCGAGACAGCTCACAGTCTAGAAGAGAAGACAGGCAAGAAATCCAGTATTTATAATAAAATGTGACACATGCAATAACAGAAGCATGAGCAAGTTCCAGAAGTAGTACGGAAGAAGTGATTCATTCGGCTTGGGGTGAGGTCAGGGAAGGACTTTCTGATAAGAAGCCTCAACAGGGTTTTGAAGGCCAAAGAGGAATCTACCAGCTGGACACAGAGAAACGGCATTTGAGCAGGGGGAAAAAAACCCAGCATGAGTAAAAGCAAGAAAGCATGAGACCACATGATGTGTCGGGAAGGGCACATGTAATTGTGTGTCACTGCCACCGCCAGAACACGACATACAAAGAAGGGACAGAGGCCGAGAAGACGAGGCAGGTGGGTGCAGGCCACCCAGATCTTTGTATGTTCTGCTGAAGAGGCAACAAGCAATCAGTAACGTGTCTGATGAGCCATCTACACGAGTTCCTGGGACATCCGGGTGTGCGTGATAAATTGGACGTGAAACTAGAAGCAGAGTGACGTCAGCAATAGTTCAGGTGAGAGTGGCTGAGAGTCTAAATTAAGGCAATGGCAGTGAAGACAGGCAGGAGAGGCCAGATCTGAGGCATAGGAAATAAAAACCGAGAGGATTAGGTAACAGGATACGGGAGTGGCGAGAACGAATTCGGATGACTCCTACATGTCTGGCTTGTCCAACGGGTGGGTGATGCTACCGTCAACCGAAATGTGGGTTAGGGAAGAAAGAGCAGGTTGGGGGAAGGGGAGAAAGAAAGAGAAAATGAGTTGCATTTCAGACATGTGGAGTTTGAGGTACCTGTGGGACATCCGGGTGGAGATGTCCAGTAGGCAGGTGGAAATACGGGCCTGGAGCTCGGGGGAGAGGTCGGGGCTGGAGATATAGATTTAGGAGTCATCAGCATACAGGTGTTAGTTACAACCATTGGAGTAGATGAGAAAAAAAGTGGCAGGCTTTTGGCTTAACCACCTGTGTAGGCTACGGCATGAATTTACTCGATGATTCCCAACTAGCCTTGCGCTATTACAGATCTGGCGTTAGGAAAGAAGATGCTTTACAGTTATATTTTACAATGCAAAAGCTGGCTCCTATCAGTTTCTTTACAGAAACGTACCTAAGAGCACGAAGCACAAAAATCACCCAGGACTTTCAAAATGTCAGCTGATTATACAACCTTAGATACTCTTATTTCAAATCTTGCGAAAGAAAGGAATGTGCATACGGCCCTTTCTTACCCTCTTGAGCAGTCGGTACCATCCAAGTCGTGGTGGCAGTTGCTTTTTTAACACTTTCCATCTCACTCTCATCCGTGATAACTTCCAGGGCTCCAAACTCATTTACCCGAAACTAAGGACAACACAACAACAACAAAAAGAAGGCGAATTGTACGGAAGTGCTCAAGACAGTGGGTAATGGCTGACACATCTAGTCTTTAAGCAAATTAATTATGCGCTAAAACTGAAGGAATTATAACTTGATAAGCCTCCTACCAACATGAAGGCCTTTGTATTTTTCTAATTTTGGAATTCAAGGAAGGGAAAAAGACAAAGCATCAAGGTAACGCGGAATGACATAAACAATCCTGCAATCAATCATGCTTATGTAATAAAGCTGGGTCCCACTCTGTCACCCAAGCTGGAGTGCAGTGGCACGCTCACAGCCACCGCAGCCTCAGACTGCTCGGCTCCGGCGATCCTTCCACCTCTGTCTTCCAAGTAGCTGGAACTACAGGCACGCACTACCACACCCGGCTAATTTTTTGACTTATTGTAGAAACGAGGTCTCGCCAAGTTGCCCAGGCGGGTCTCGAACCCCTGGGCTCAGGCAATCCTCTCACTTCGGCCTCCCAAAGTGCTGGAATTATAGGCCTGAGCCACCGCGCCGGCCTTGCTTAATCTTTAAGCTGCCAGTTTACCTGGATGAGTTGTCATTCCAAACATACTTTTGTTTTGTTTTGTTTTAACTGAAATTCGTTTTTCTTTGTTTCCTATTTTTGCAATAAACAAAGTTAGTAAAAGGAAAATGGTTCTTTTCCCAGGAATCGCCTTGTCTTACCCAGGCTCTTCTGGTTCAGAGAGAAGGAATATCCCTATCCCAGAAACACTGGCCTGGACATCCTTCTCCTTATATTCCAAGACATGAGCACGGAAGGTAGAAGCATGAGTCACACGACCCCCAAGGTCACAATTCCTCTTTCACGGCTCTGTAGAATTCTCCACTACCTTCATGTCTAGTCCTTCTAAACAACTGGAAATTTCTGCAACAGCTGAACAAGTTTCCTAGCTACCAGCCAGATTTATCACAAAAAAAGTAAGGGCATTTTGATCTCATGAACATTCTCAACTCAGCTCAAATATTGAAAATTTCCTCTCAGGCCAGGACCAATGGCTCACACCTATAACCCTAATGTTTTGGGAGGCTGAGGCGAGAGATCTCTTGAGCCCGGGAGTTCAAGATCAGCCTGGGCAATATAAGGAGACTTTGTCTCTATAAAAAATTTTAAAAATTAGCCAGGCATCTGTAGTCCCAGCTACCTGGGAGGCTGAGATGGAAGGATCACCTGAGCCCAGGAGGTCTGAGCTGCAATGAGCCTCGATCATGTCACTGCACTCCTGCCTGGGTGACAGTGAGACCCTGAATCAAAAAAGAAAGAAAAAAAATTTCTCTAACTTAATGGCAAGCTTCATAAACAGTTAAGTTTCTATAACAACCTGGTTGTACTGTGTGTGTTTGTTGATGCCTTAACCATTACCTATGTGGGGGGCTTTGGTCTCTCTGAAATGGTTAAAGTTACTCTCATATTCAAGAATTTCAATAAGAATTCTGTATTCCTTCTGTTTTTCTGTAAAACAAAATGACGTGAGGGACCCACTAATTTTAACAGGTGATAAAGAGGTGGAAAACTCAAAATTCAAAAGGATAATATACTTTTTAGATCTTTCACAGAAATCACGAGCATGTAAATATGTGGAATTTAAGAAAGGCCCTACACACCTGCCAATCTGAAAAAATCTTTTTTGGTTAACATGCCAGTAGAATTATTTACTTTGTCAAACTACATTCAGACCTCAAGTCAGAAAAATCTTAAGCGAAAAGTACCAACAATTATTCTTTCCACTAGGTGAAAATAACAACTTGAATAATTTTCTACAAATAACCCATAATTATTATTATTTTTTTAAGTCGAAGTCTCACTCTGTCACCCAGGCTGGAGTGCAGTGGCATGCTGCTGATGGCCAATCCACAATTATTAAATGAATGAGTTGAAATGGTTAAGGAACATGAGGATGTTTTCTCCCTATTACAAAGTCTAGATAAGTTTCCAGGGAATATGTAAATACTACCCCAGGTGTGTACACCTAAAATATCAGTGTAGGAAATGGTAAAAAGTCAACTAAAAGGCAAACAGCTAAAATAACTTTTCTTTTGGGAAAAAGAAATCTGAAAGTTAAAAAAAAACAAATTTTAAAATGATCATGCTGAAAACAGAATATTTCAAAATAAGGCTGACAGTACCATCTACTGGGCAAAGAGTAGAAAAAAAACAAGCTATCATGATAATTATTAATTAGCGATATTAAAGAATGTGACAGAAAAACAATTTAAAAAACAGGCACAAACTTGACAGTTCACTTCAGGTAAGGAATTTTACTTTGATTACGTTACTGATGTTAATTTTTGCTTATTTGACAAATACAAAATATGAGAAACAGCATCAAACATTTACATTAAACAGAAAGTCTTCATGGCTTCAGGTGTCCAAATTTCTTCAAAAATGCAACCCACCCTGCATTTCAAACACTGAGAAAGAGACCACCAGTGACTGGAATCTCCAAGTAAAAATCCAGAACTATGACACCTAGAAGCTTCAGCTCCCAATACTTTCAAAGTTAAAAGGCAATATTTTCACAGTACAAAATTTAATCCTCGTCAGCTTTTCCTTCTTCTAAATTAACTGTCAGTAACTGTCCTATAGTCTAAGTACAAAGTAAAGATGCAATGTCATTTAGCGACACAGTTAACTCTTCTAAGTCAGAGAGACATATTTTCCGGGAACAGGATTCATAGGTTTCATCATATCCTCAAAGGCATTCTCTAACTCTGAAAAAGGAAAGAACATCTGTTCTACCTGAAGTAGCTTATCTCAAAAATTAAAAAGCATTTTCAAAGTATCCTATCATACGCAAAAAGACACAGGGATCAAATTTTTCTTGGCTTCTCAATTTGCATTTACTGTGTCTTCCATGCTATTGCTATTGGAGAAAATGGTAGACAACACAGGTTATGGTTAGGTACCGCTAACATTTCTGAAGTCCCTCAGACAGAATTCCAGAAAGACACGTTTTCTAACAGTTTTTTCCTAATAAAAAATTCAGGTTAGGAAATTGGTAATGTTTTTATGAATGGTTTTAGAATGATGACAACTTCACTTTTATTAATTTTCTTGAATAGGTAGCTTTTTTAACCTAGAATGCTAAAAGCAGTATACAAATTTTTCAAGTGGCTCCATTCTACAACCAAGAGTATCAAAAAGTATAAACCTGCCAAAAGGGATTCATTAAGCAAACATGATGTCATATCAGCTAACATGATAACTTTTTCTACATGTGGATACATCCAGGTCAATCAGAAAACCACAGCCCCTGGAATATTTAAGGGGTTGCAAACATTTTGTTTGTTTGGCTTGAAACATCTCTAATGGTTCAATTATCTTCTTTATTTTTGCTTGTAGAGGCAAAGAATCTTTTGCCTATTTCTGGCTATCTTTAATAATACATTAATAATACATAAGATACTGGTGAGGTTATTGTCTTTGTTTCATTACTTTCAATGCTGAAATCTGAATTCTACTTACCAGTATGTTCTAAGAGCAACGATGTTTGGTTAACTAAACTGTTTTGAACATTAATGAAAGCAAGGCAAAACCCTGTATTTAAGAGGGCGGAGAGTTTTACAGTTGGGCTTCTGCCTGCTGCTTCAGGGTCCTGCTCTCAACTAAGCGGCAATTACTCTTAGTAAGCAAGATGCTATCCTTTCAGGAATGTATCTGCATTTTACTGAGGGACTCTGAAAGACATTAGGCCACAGAGAAATAATTCTCTGTGGATACATCTCAGACATCATAAGAAGTTCAGATAGAAGAGCTGTTTAGGCATGGGAAGCCCATTCAAGCACCTGTGTGCACTGTCACTTGGTCACCCACATGTTCTTATGGCTGGTCCTGAGACATTAATCTGCAAATACTCATTTACATTTTAAAGGAACACACTAGGCAAGGGTGTAGTTTCCAAAGTTTGCTTAGGCAAAAATGTCTTGTTAATGACTACAGCGTTTTCAAGAATGCCAGTAGACACTTGTACTCCCTTGCCACTCTGTACCTTCTGAAGCCATCTCCTTTTTTTGAAGCCCTTTTCCTTCCCTTCCCTGTTCCTGCTCCCCAAAAGTACTCATGGAGACTCCTGCACAATTCCAGGTACCTGAAGCTCAAATGACACCTACTTCTCAAAGCCTTCCTGACCCTTTCACCTGAAATGAATTTTTACCTCCTCTAAATTCCCAACGTTTTCCTTGTATCTCTTGATATGAAAATGTTTTCTCTCTTTTTAAAATGTTTTGTTTTTGAAATCGGGGTCTCACTCTGTCACCTAGGCTGGAGTGCAGTGGCAGGATCATGGCTCACCACAGCTTCAACTTCCTGGGCTCAGATGATCTTTCTGCCTCAGCCTTCCAAGTAACTGGCACTCCAGGCACATGTTGCCCAGGCTGGTCGCAAACTCCTAGCCTTGAGCAATACTCGTACCTGGGCCTCCCAGAGTGCTGGGATTATAGGCATGAGCCACCACACCCAGCCTGTTTTCTCTCTCCACAACAGTACAGCAGTGGTGAGAGAATCCATTTTAATATCGGAAAAGTCTGGTTTTAAGACCCATTTCTGCCAATAACTGATTTGAGCAAATGAATTAACTACTCTGGGCTTCCATTTTCCTGTTGTGAACTGACAGGACAGACAGAAACTACCTCAAAAGGGTTAGATAAAAAGATGTAGGTAAGGTGCTCGGCAGAGAGCAAGGTCTCTATTCTTTCCTCCTACTGCACCCAAAGATATCTGTGCTCTGTTTCATAGAAGTTTTAGTTAGCTTGGTGTAGAGAAGAAATTCCAGCAACAGGGAATAGTAAAAAGAGCCTGGGGTATTATAACGTCTTTAACTCCTGGTTTGGGCTGAGTGACACTGAGGAGTGACATGAGATACGGCCAGAGAGGAAAGGAGACGCCAGATCCCCAGAAAAACTCGTGGTGAACTTCTGGGGCTTCAACTTTGCCATGAAAGATTTGGGCAAGTGCTGAA